TGGGGGCCGGGGTATGAAGTCAGGGGATTGGGAGGGTCCTGCTCTCTTCAGGACTGTGTGGGAGAATCTGCTCCTGCTTCTCTCCTCTCTTCCTGTGGTGCTGAAAGTTCTTGTCACCCTTAGCTTTGCAACTCTTTTGTCTCTGCTTCCACTGTGACACAGCCTTTATCCTGAACTCTCTCTGTGTCTCTTGGTATAAAGACTAGTCTAACAGTGGACTGAGGGCCCACCCTCATTTCCACTAGGTGCATACAACAAGCCTGTCTCCAAGTAAGGTCACATTCTGAAGTGCTGGGGATTGGAATTGCATCATACCTTTTGGGGGCACAATTTGGAACAAGGCAGGAAGTGACTCAACCAAGTTCACACAGTGATGCAATCAGAGCCCCATGGATGAGCTCTGAGTCACAGCTGAGTGACCGCTCTTCCCACGGAGGCTCTAATATCATTCTCTCCTCACACGTCAGCTCATGACCAGCCGTAGTCAGCAGAGCTGACATGGCTACAGACGTCACTGTGCTGAGTAGGGACACTGCCCCCAAAGGCAGTCTGGGCATTTCTTGAGCAAGTCACCCTCCTGCTCCCCTTTTGCCCTCTCCCCTGGAGGACCATAGAGGTCAGGGGACTTTGTGATGTAGGGAGGGACAAGTACCTCTGTGACATAAGTGGGGTCCCAGAGAGGTGGGGAGGGAAGGCCCTTCCCCAGAGCGCACATGTAGAGATGCTTACACCATTGGATTCTGGCTTCTGCAAGAGGGCCTGGGCTTCTCCCACCATGCCTTCCTCCCCCATTTTCCCATGGTCCGGTCCTTCCTCTTCTGTGCTAGCGGCTAACTCACCTGAGCTCACAGGTGACTCCTGACAGCCCACTAGACCTTTCTAGAGATATCAACAGAAAGGTCCCAGGCTCCCTCCCTTCCTCACTCTCCTCTGTCCTCTTGGAATGGAGGCACTGGAAAAAGGTAGAGCCCTGGCCCTCCCTTTGGCTATGGGGCTATAGCAACAAAGGATCACTCCCCAATTAAGATCTCTCTAGCAATCCCATCCTGAGATGGAGCGGGGGAAGCCAAAACACCCTTGCCAGCCAAAGGAGAAACTTGCCTCCCAGGAAGAGTCTTCATGGACTTCTGACAATCCATGGAACTGGACCACCTTGCAGGAGTTCAGACAATGATGGGCCAGTGATGGTCAGAATCACATCTTGACCAGGATTGCTTAGTTATACAAAACTTACCTTCTATTTAAACCTGAACTTCATGTCAGTAGCCCTAGAAGATGAGCTTGGGAGGATCATTGGAACCCTTTATTTGTTCCCCTTCACGAAGTGACCACATTGAAAAACTCTTTTATCTCTAGACTGTTGGGGCTGCCGAGGCCCAGCCTTAAAATACAGACACTCCTTACCCTAGGTTGGAGCAAGGGAAGAAAAAACCAACCTTTTCTATTTTATTTCTTTAAAGAGATGTGATCCTGGAGCCAGAGAGTTGGCTCAGGGGTTAAAAACATTGGCTGTTCTTGCAAAGGACTGGGGTTCAGTTCCCAGCACCCACACGGCAACTCACAAATTTTTATTTATTTTATTTTTTATTTTTGGTCTTTTTGAGACAGGGTCCCCCTGTAGCCCCAACTGGCCTGGACCTTGCTGTGTAGACCAGGCTGGCCTTGAACTCACAGAGATCCACCTGCCTCTGCCTCCCGAATGCTGGGATTAAGGCATGCACAACCAAGTCTAGACTAAAAATTTATTTTAATTTTTTTAACAACTGGAGAGATGGCTCAACGGCTGGTTAAGAGCACTGGTTGCTCTTGCAGAGGACCCAGGTTTGATTCCTAGCACCAGCATGGCAGCTAACAACTGTCTGTAACTCCAGTTCCAGGGGAATCCAACACCTTCTTCTGACCTCCTCAGGCATTGCGCAACACAGGTGCACTTACACACATGCAGGCAATACACTCATATATCAAAATAAAAATAATAGGGAGTTGGAGAGATGGCTCAGCGGTTAAGAACTCTGTTCTTGCAGAAGACCCAGGTTTGAATCCCAGCACCCACATGGCAGCTAACAACTGTCTCTAACTCCAGTTCCAGGGGACCCAACAGCCTCCTCTGTCCTCTGAGGGCATTGCACAACACAGGTGCACTTACCTACATGCAGGCATAACACTCGTACACATAAAATAAAAATAATAAACAAAATGTTTTTAAATATATATTTTTAAAAAGAAATGTGGTCCTGCTTTGTGACCTAGACTAGCTTCAAACTCCTAAGCCCTCACAATCATGCCTCAGCCTCCTGGAGCTACAGGTGTGCACCACTTCACCTGGCTTAAGAAGTATTTTGGGGGGCTGGAGAGATGGCTCAGAGGTTAAGAACATGGGTTGTTCTTGCAGAAGACCGGGGTTCGAATCCCAGCACCCACATGGCAGCTAACAACTGTCCATAACTCCAGTTCCAGGGGATCCGATGGCCTCTTCTGTCCTCCTCAGGCATTACATGACACGTGTGCACTTACCTACATTCAGGCAATACACGCATACACATAAAATAAAAATAATAAATAAAATTTTGTTAAAAGAAAGCATTTTTAAGGGCCCATGAGTGGAAGCCGCCACACTTTATGTGGTTATTGCCAGATACAGGGCAGAAATGCAGCTCAGAGGTGCAGAGTGGAGCCTCCCCAGCTGTTGTTTATCCCCCTAGACTTCATTGTGGGAGATGATGCCCAGGGTGCAGAGGAGACGTAGGAGGACCTTTAGTGACAGGTATGGCTCCTGATTTCTTCTCACCTGGCTATCTCCCTTCTAGCCCCACTATCTCTTTCCCTGAAGCAGACCAGCTGTTTGTATACTTCAGACCCTCCCTACACCCCCAGTACCTGCCCAGTAAAGGTAAGGGCATGGAGGTGGCCATGGGCAGAGAGAAGGACATGGTGAGAAAGAAGGAAAGGAGGAAGAGGTCCTGGATAATGATGCCCAGGGTGCAGAGGAGATGTAGGAGGACCTTTAGTGACAGGTATGGCTCCTGATTTCTTCTCACCTGGCCATCTCCCTTCTAGCCCCACTATCTCTTTCCCTGAAGCAGACCAGCTGTTTGTATACTTCAGACCCTCCCTACACCCCCAGTACCTGCCCAGTAAAGGTAAGGGCATGGAGGTGGCCATGGGCAGAGAGAAGGACATGGTGAGAAAGAAGGAAAGGAGGAAGAGGTCCTGGATGTCCTCTGAGGCCACAGCTCTGAAGCAGGCAGAGGGGCCAACACTGATCATCATAGGCATGTGACCAGGTTGGAGCTGGGGACAGCACAGGGATGGAGCAGACAAGCCCTGCTCCTCTATGCAAGCAGATGGCAGATGACCAAATTCACAAGCGCAGGTGGCTCTCACCAGCTTGTGGAGGTGTCTCAATCAGCAGGAGATAAATCTGAAATGATGTGATTTTTTCAGTCCCTGTGCCGGTGAAAGAATCTGTCCCCATCCTGCTATCAGGTGGGACTCCAAGCCTTATCCACATCAGGGAGGCAGGTAGAGTGAGGGAAGAAGGATCTCTGCTGGCTGTTTTGACCAGCACATAAGGCTCAGTGGAAAAGAGAACTTGCTGTTCTTCTAGAAGACCCAGGTTCAGTTCCCAGCACCCACATGGCAGTTAACAATCATCTGCAATTCCAATTCCAGCAGATCCAATGCCCTCTTCTAGCCTTCACCAGCACTGTATACACATGATGCACTTGCATACATGCAAGCAAAACAAACATACACATAAAATAAAAATAACAAAAGATATTTTGAAGTCTGGCGATCACATAAAATTTACCCTGTAATATTCATAAATAATTCTAATTTCTTGTGTCATTAAATTGATGCAACAATCTATACCCAGTATTTCTCCAGCTTTCCTGAATAGGAGAAATTGGTTCTATGCAGTATGGTGGTAACTGGGGGAGAAGGGATAAGTTCTGTAATAATAGTCTTGAAGAGAACAGAGCCCTTGTCACAGTGTGCCCCAATTCCTGTGCTTAAATACTCCAAATTGGATTTGAGTTCACCAAGATGAATTGAGATGCTTAGGTACTTTTTTCAAACCCAAAGATCCTGCCCTGCCCCAGGTAGTGACTTGATTCCAGGACAGCTGCCTATTTATGGACCCTCCCTTGGATTCCCTCCTGCCAGATCAGGGCCACAGCAACTGTAAACAATGCTGAACAGACTAAGCAGGCAGGGACAGGAGTCTTGGAGAACTTCAGAAGCTACTGGGCCCTGTCCTCCTTGAACTGGGCCACTGTGGGGGCCTTTCATCTCCTGCCTTTGCCTCTTCCCACCCCACTACCCTAGTGCAGCGATTACGGTGCTAATTAGGATACTTTGATCATCTTTAGAAATGGCCACACAGAGAAGGGATGCTGTCAAGCAATTAGGGGCAGGGGCCTGGGAGCTCAGTGGCTCGCTCAGCAGTGGGACCACTGAGGATGCCCACCCCCACCTTTAGCCTTCCTTCCTCCAAGAGGGCCTGCCCCCAGCATTCGCAGTGAACTCCCCAGGGGGCAGAGACAGATGGGGATTCCCTCCTGCCAGCCCCTGCCCACCAGAGCCCCTCTGCCTGGCCCCTGGCCCAACTGTCAGCTCTTCTTCCCTATCTCAGTCCCTTTGAAGCAGCCGCAGAAACAAGGGCTGCTTTGACAGAAGAGGGGCTCAGAGCTGGGATGATGAGACTTCAAAGGTGAGGGTCGAGCCTACTACCTCATTCCCTCCCCCAGTCCTGGCTGCCGTCCCATGCACCTCCCCATTTCTGTCCTCTATATAGCCCCTGAGCTCCATTCCTCTGAGGGCTCCCAGGAGGTACGGGCCAGGTGAGGTGCAGACCACTGGAACTGGGTAATTTAGTGTAAGACGACATGACTAGATGGTTTGAGGGACACAAATCCTGTGCCCAGGAAGAAGCATGGGAGAGGGTGGACCCCAGGAGGAAAGAGGACAGGCGCCTCCCACCCCATCTCCAGGTCACCATGTTGCTGGCTGTGTTGCTGCTGCTGCTGCTGCCCCTCCCAGACCCCTGGACTGCCCACAGGCATCCACTGTACATGCACCTGTCCCCCAGCACCCTGCAAAGTGAGCCGGGCTGGCCTGAAGGAGCCACTGAGGTGGGAGGGGCATAGAGGATGACAAACTTGTCACTCCCACTTTTGAAGACTGGTGGCCCTTCTGCCTACCTGCTAAGAGGAGGGGCCTGGAACTATGATATAGGAAGAAAAGGAGGGGCAGACAGGCTTGCCCAGGAAGAGGAGTCATCAAACACTGCCTAGAAGCACTTAGAGAAGGCTCCAGAGTTAGAAGGGAGGGGACCCAGGGCAGTTTGCCTTGGTAATTTAGGCCCAAAGGTAGATACCTCAACTGCAGTCACTCTATGCCACAGGCTTAATTCTGGGATGCCTGGGTAGTACTTTTTCCTCTGAAGTCTTTAAGGAAAGGTACTCTTCAGAGACTCCAGCTCAGTTCAGCTGACTTAAGAAAGTATCATGGGCCAAGCAGTAGGGACCATCTGTTCTAAGGGCTGAGTCTCAGGCCCCAGGGCCCCTCCCCTCTCCCTATCACCCCTTCCCTGGGGCTCTAGGAGCCCAGCCTGCTTCTGCATGGTCTTCCCATGCAGGGTTCAGGAGGACTGGACTGAAGCTTTCTCCCAACCAGACATGATTTTGTGTTCCATGTGTCCACAGTTCTGTCTGCCCAGGGTACTCAGGTGGTGCAGGCTGCCCAGAGGAGTCCCCGGTGGGCCATAAAGCAGGTGTCAATGGAGATTCAGCACAGACTGCATGAGTGCCTCCCTACCCATGCCCCAGTGAATTTGCAGACTTACAGGGGATTCATTCTGTCCATTCCCACCCCTTACCTTAAGTCCCACCCACTTGGGAGCAGAGACTGGGTGGGGCTGCAACTAAGGCACAGCTTTTTGGAGGTCTCTCCAAGTGGAAGGGACTTGTCAAGCTCGGGACACGGCAGGGAGGTGGGGACAGTGTGAGCCCAGGTGGCAGTTCATGGCAGTTCATAGAACCTGTGTTAAGAGTGTGGGACAAGAGGAGACTGGCTCCAAGACAGGACCTTCAGGCCAGGGTGGAGGCTGGGCAGTGAGGCAGAAGTAAGGTTCAAAAGACTGTTCTCAGCAGGACCCGGATGCCTCAGGACTCAAGCCCCTCTCCTCCAAGACCCAACTGAGCCAGGTGAGACTAAACGGCTCCACGGAGCGTGACAGAGTCGGGTGAGCCTCGACAAGAAGACAGCTAGGAACCGCCTCCCCCCCATGGCACTGCTTCTGCCGTTCTAGGGCCATGTGGCAAGAGGCGCCCGGGCTCTGCCAACGTGACCAGGACTCATGGCCGCATAGTGGGGGGCAGCGCGGCTCCATCCGGGGCCTGGCCCTGGCTAGTGCGGCTGCAGCTTGGGGAACAGCCTCTGTGCAGCGGCGTGCTGGTAGCGGCGTCCTGGGTGCTCACCGCGGCGCACTGCTTCGCTGGGTACGTCTAGTCCCCAGACACCTTCCCAGAAGGGCTACCCAATCCTAGGTCTGGAAACCTACAGGGCATCATGCGGGAGCTCCGGTCTCTGCTGCCCCCTGGCGGAAGTCGGCCTCCGACCGTGGGTCTCAAAGTGCCGGGCTCGGGAGACCCCGGAGATGGAGGGTGTGTGGGACAGCGCGCCCCACCTCACATTCGCCCGCTCTAGGGAGGGACCCCTGTCCAGGTCCCTGTCTGCTCCCCTGGGGCACTGCAGTGGTGCTCACTGCGGGTGCAAAAGGGGCAGGGTCGCCAAAGGGCCTCGTTGCGCCCTTGTCCTTGCTGCGCAGCATCTCGAATGAGCTTCTGTGGACTGTGACACTGGCTGAGGGATCACAGCGGGACCAAGCAGAGGAGGTGCCGGTGAACCGCATCTTGCCCCACCCTAAGGTAGAAGATGGACCCTGGGTCCTCAGAACTGGGACCAGCACCCCAAATCCTCTGCTTTGACTTTGCACCGCCACCCCCTCTCCTGTTTGACCCGCAGACCTTCCACAATGGCCTGGCTCTGGTGCAACTGTGGACTCCAGTGAGCCCAATGGGACCTGCGCGCCCCGTGTGCCTACCCCAGGGGCCTCAAGAGCCTCCCGCCGGCACTCCCTGCGCCATCGCGGGCTGGGGGGCCCTCTTCGAAGGTATTGCCAGTCAGTGCCTGGATAAACTCTGGGTGTGTAGGGTGTGTAGGGACGAACAAGGGGGTTGGAAGTAAGTTGAGATGGAGTTTGGGCAAGCAGGAACGTAAGGAACACAGCTTCAAAATGCTGCCCCGTCTCACAAAAGGGGAGAGTAAGTAGAGCGGATCTCAAGGCCCTGCCTCTGCTCTCCAAACCCGGATCCACTCTTTCTTGTAGATGGGCCTGAGTCTGAGACGGTGAGGGAGGCCCGGGTTCCTCTGCTCAGCGCGGACACCTGTCAAAAGGCCCTGGGACCTGGGCTGCGTCCCAGCACCATGCTCTGCGCTGGTTACCTGGCAGGGGGCATCGACTCGTGCCAGGTATGAACTCTGATTGACTGGGAGCAGAATTCCTCCGAATCGCTAAGTCTTCGTAACTAAAATGGAATCAAGCCCTCAGACCCGCCATCCCCACCAAGCACGAGACAGGCTAAGAGGGGCCTGGGTGAAAGCATTGTTTTCTCTCGGCTTTGGTCCCATAGGGTGATTCAGGAGGCCCACTAACTTGCTCTGAGCCCGGCTCGCACCCCAGAGAAGTCCTCTTTGGAATCACCTCATGGGGGGATGGCTGTGGGGAACCAGGGAAGCCTGGGGTCTACCCTCGCGTGGTCGTGTTCAAAGATTGGCTGCAGGAGCAGATGACTGGTGAGCGGCCCCTGCCCGGGTTCCACTGACCCCTGAGGCAAACACATTTCCATCTAGCTGCGTAGGTGTTGCGCTCCCTTGTTCTCAGGGAAAGCACTTTCCCTCTAGGGAGGGGTTGCCGGGGTCTAGGTCCGCAAACAAGGAGTGAGCTGGCATCTGCTTGCAGCGGCCCCCTCCACTCGCGAGCCCAGCTGCAGAGAACTTCTAACTTGGGACTCGACGGAGGACCTTCCAGAGGACACCGACTGGCTCTATGCGCGCCTGTGCCGGGGGTCCGAGCGCACCTGTGCACGCATAGCGCCGGAGCAGTGCCTGCAGCGCCGGAGGCGGTGCGGTCAGTCGGGTTCCTGGGTGCCAGGGCAGAGGGCTGGGTCCACCTGGGACGGATGCTCAGCCTCTTGTCCTACCTGCAGAGCTGCGCTCGCTGGTGCGCAAGCTGCTGGACCTGCTGCGGGTAGCGCAGGAGCTGTTCGGACCGCGCCCCTGGTTGTGGCGTCGGGTCCCTGCCCCAGCTCACCCTGCTCGGTCCCTCCGGGACCCTCTGGGGCACCCTACCCGGGAGCAGCGGCTGTACATAGGTACCCCACAAACCCTGCCAGGCCTAAGCTCTAGCGTCATTGAGCCTCGTTTCCTTGGCGAGGCGCTTCCTCTAACTCGGGTGTCACCCCTAGGATCGCCGGTTGCAGCAACGCGGTTCCTGAAGTCAGAGCTGCGCTGGCAAACGAAGGGTAATGACACCCCCTGCCGACCTTCTGGAGAGGAGCAGCCAAGAGGCTAACCAAGAGGTTTCTGGAAGGGTGGTAGGATTGTGTGCCAGGAAGCCTTACCTCAGGGGGCAACAGGGCAGGCCAGCTGGCTTGCTCTCTTCAAGGGAGAACAGATGACTCTTCAAGGTGATTGTGGCTTTGAGTCGTAGTTGGTGTCAGACAGAAGCACTCTGCCTTATAAGATTACTTAACCTCTGCAAGCCTCAGTTTCCCCATCTGGAGCATGCAGAGGAGGCCTGCCCTAGGATGTCCACCCCAGCACTGGCTCTGGGTTAGTTCTATTAGTCTGGGAACCTCCCCTGCTTTCAGAATGCCCTGGGCTGGAGACCCTGCAACAGAAGTTGTCCACCATGCAGGGAGCACATGCCTGGATCCTACAGATCCCAGCAGAGCGCTTGGCCATGAACTTTCATGAGGTAGGTCCCAGGCTGCCCAGACTCCCTCACAGTGGCCAGAACCCAGTGCAGAAAAGAGGCAGAAAGTTCAGGCCTGACTTGGGGGGAGGGGTGAGCTGGGACACTAGAAAGAGGGAAGATGGGGGAAGTATGGGTGGAAGAGCTCACGGGGGTGTCCAAAGGAGCTCTCTGGAAATAAGTGGGACTATGGGTAAAGGAAAGGGGCAAAGATCTAGGTGGGTTCCCGGGTTCCGGAGGAGGAGAGTAACCCCCAGGCTTCCCACCCAGGAGTGATTTTTGGGTCCTGACCCCCTCCCTCTACAGGTGCTGGCAGATCTGAGCTCCAAGACACTGACAGGCCTCTTCAGAGCCTGGGTGAGTGTTGGCTTGGGGAGCCAGTGAGTGGCCTTCAGTGGCCTGGTGGGCCTCGAGCCTTCTACACTGGCCCACAGTCTACCCCGGCTGCTGGTGCAGGCCCTGCAGGCCTTCCGCTCTGCTGCCCTGACAGGAGGAGAGCCACAGGGACTGTGGATGGGTGTGGAGCAGAGCCAGGGGATGGAGAAAAAGGAGCACCACTCTCCACTCAGTCCTCATGCTCCCCGAGCCAGACAGCCACAGGAAGGTCCCACTGCCCCCAGGGGCTAAGGGAGTTGAGAAAGATGTGACAAACTCTCTAGTTGGTCAGGTATGTGTTGATGGAGTGGGGAACCTGGGTCTCATATGTCTTCCCAAATATGTCATCAGACACAGCTGCTTTAATAAATGTTATTTGTAATCTACAAAAACAATCTGGAGATTTCCTGGGATGGGAATGGGTGGACATCAGATGGGAGGAGGCAGGGTCAAGCCTCCAGAAATAGTTAGCAATGGCCACAAAGAAGCTGGGAGGAGCCAGGAGTGGTGACTTGTGTCTATGAGTTCAGCACTCTGAAACCCAAGGCAGGAGGATTGACATGAGTTCGAGGCCTTGCGGCCAGCATGAGCTACATAGTGAGTTACAGGGTAGTCTGGGTTACAGAGTGAGACCCTGTCTGAAGAAAAAAAGGTGGGGGGCTAGAGAGCTGGCTCAGAGGTAAGTGCTTGCTACACAAGCCTGAGGATCTGAGATAAGATCCCCAGTACCCACATAAAAGCCATGCATAGTACCTATAATCCCAGCCCTAGATAAGGAGGAAGACAATAGAGACAAGTAGATCCCAGTCTAGCTGAAGAGGTGAGGTCCAGGTTCAGTGAGGTCCAGGTTCAGATCCCAATAGAGACAAGTAGATCCCAGTCTAGCTGAAGAGGTGAGGTCCAGGTTCAGTGAGGGGTCCCTGTCTCAAAAAACAAGGCAGAGGGGTTCAACTGGATCCTGGCAGTAGCTATGGGCTCAGTTCTCCTGTGGCTCTCCTGTCTCCCATTCACTTCTGGAAACATGGTCTCTGGTGTGGCAGTCTCTGATGGTGTCAGCAACGTGTTCAGTGGCACAAAGGTTCACAAGCCCTCAATGCCAAAGAAAGTAAAGAAGCATTTCTGCCTGAGTGAGGATGAGAAAAACATCATCCTGAAGGACAGCTCCAAGATACTGGCAGGTGATGTTGACCAAACTGTGCTTAACCCTTTGGTCAAGATGCTATCAGCCAGGACTGCTGCTATACTCTACGATGCTACGTACAAGAACACAGAGCACAAAGAGGACCTGGTGTTCATCTTCTGGGCCCCTGAGAATAGCCCCCTTAAAAACAAAATGATCTATGTTCAAGCACAAATTACAAGTAGACTGCTATGGGGACCTCAAGGACCACTGCACCCTGGCACAAAGCTGGGCAGTAGCAGCATCTCCCTGGAGGGCAAGCCTTTGTGAGCTGCTTCCAGCCCCCTACCTAGAACATCTAGAAGTCCAGACTAGCACTTGGGTGCTGCAGCTGCTTCATTCCTGCCGGACCAGCCAAGCTTAGGGGATCTCAGGAGGGAGAGGGAAATCCCTTCACCCCAGTTGCCAAATAGTACTGTCCACCCCCTAGACCATCCTCCTCCCTCCATTCCTGACAGTCTGGCCTTCCCAAACTACTTTTGATCTGATTTCTCTTGGGCAAAGCAGACCAAGTTCCTCCAGGCACCTACTTTGAGGGGAGTACTATATTTTTTCAACAACACCCATGGTCCCACCAAGGATCACACTGCCAACTTCTAACCACAATAGTTACTCTATGCTTGCCTGTTTAGTTCTGTGTATAATTGGAACGTTGTGGAAATGTCCTTCTCCTAGGCTAGCTGTGTGTCCTCCCTTTTCTCTTGGTCTTAGCCACTCATGGAAGCAGGACCAGTAAGGGACCTTCACTTTAAAAAAAAAAAAAAAGCCATGGGCCAGTGAAATGAATAGTAAGTAGCCACCTGCTGCCAAGTCTGACAATCCGAGTTCGATTCCCGAGACCGAGATAGTGGGAGAGAACCGACTCCTGCAAGTTGTCCTCTGACTTCCACATGTGCAACTCGGAACTCGATAAATAAATAAATAAATAAGCAAGCAAACAAACAAATAAATAATTTAAAAGGCAATAATAAGTAGAAGGAAGAAACAAAAAAAAGAGAAAGAGCAGTGGCGAGCCAGCAAGATGGCTCAGCGGGTAAAAGTGCTTGCTGCATAAGCCTGAGGACTGGAGTTCAACTTCCAGAACCCACCATAGGAAGAAGAAACAATTCCTAAAAGTTTTGCTCTGCTTCCACACATGTGCCATGGCATGTCACACCCACATTTACACACCCACATATGTCATACATACGCACAATAAGTAAAATTTAAATTTAAAAAATAAGGTGAACAGCAATAGAGAAAGACACCCACTGTCAACCTCTGACCTTCACAGGCACACACACACACACACACACACACACACACACACACACACACACACACAGAGAAGAAACTGGAGGCTGGGCGACTGCTAAGTCCCCATTTGAATATATCTTTTACCTTCCAAGTGGCAGCAGCTGGCCTGCCTGTCACCAAGGCTGGGCGACTGCTAAGTCCCCATCTGAATATATCTTTTACCTTCCAAGTGGCAGCAGCTGGCCTGCCTGTCACCACCTCTATCCATGGTTACCAGAAACACACACACACACACACACACACACACACACACACACAAAACCATGTCTCCACCAATCCTCCCCTCCTGGCTAGCAGTAACAGCCCCTATCTGAGATCTCTGCCTCCTGTCCTTGGGTTCTTGCCCTAGCTGTCAATCCCCACCCCCTCACCACCTGCCTTGAAATATCAGATTGCATTTCCGGCTGCCTCTCCCCACCACCACCCCCAACCCTGCACCTGTTCCCTCTCCTGCCCACCCTCATTCCACAGCCAGCAGGCCAAGGGGAAGACAGAAGCTCCAGTCAGAGGTGTGGGATGGTGGGGCCTGTGCCCATACTGGGGCTGCTGGCCACCCTGGTTGTGTGTGGTAAGGATAGACATAACTCCCTCCCTAGGAGCCCTCTGTGCCTACCTGGGCCCCCCTCTACATGACCCACTCCCATTCTGCCCTTTCTGACCTCCACTCCCAGGGAACAACTCAACCCAATCCCAGGCTGACCCAGTGGGGCCTCAGGGCAATTTCCTTCCTGGGTCCAATGCCCAGCACCCTGTTCCCTTTCCCGACCCTCCCAGGCAGCTGGGGCCTGAATGAGGAGCAGCGGCTGATCCAGTACCTTTTCGTGGAGAAGGGTTACAACAAGGAACTCCGGCCGGCGGCCCACAAGCAGGACAAAGTGGATGTCGCGATGAGCCTCACCCTCTCCAACCTCATCTCCCTAGTGAGTGGGTCCTCCTGGGCCAGCCTGGGCTGGAGAGGGGAGGGAGGGACAGCTGCTCAAGGCCTCAGCCTGACCAGTGATAGCTCTCCTTCCCTGAGACATGCTCAGCCATTCTCCTCCATGCCTGATGGCCCTACAGGCGGGCAGCCATCCAAGGCTGTTGTCCCTGCCCTCCAGCGTCAGCACCAGTCCCCCACAACTCTCCTCAGCAACCTTCTGTCCTCTGTTCTCTAGACTGTCCACCTGCCCGAACGGGGTAGTCCAGCAGGTGCTGGCCTGCCCAGCTGCTGTGGTCCCCTGGGACTGGTTAGATTAGATGCCTGCTGACTGAGTTTAGGTGAAAGAGCTATGGGGACCTTTGGGGACGGCCTTTCTGTCTCATTACAGAAAGAAGTGGAGGAGACTCTTACCACCAACGTGTGGATAGATCACGTAAGGACACCCTGCTCAAGGCCCCAGACCCCTATGCTCACTTCTACTGGGGATCTTCAACCTGCTGTGGACACTCCTCCAGGAGAGCTTGACCCTCTCCACAGTGAAGTCTATCTGTCTAGGCCTCTGCTAGCTCTGAGGGCATCTCCAAGAGTATTAGGGTTCCCCTATGGAAAAACTGTCCCTCTGTCTCAATTTGCATTAGAATCCACTCCTCTAATAAAAGCATCAGAACTGTCAGAAGTTCATGTTGCCCTCAGCCCAGGATGGAAGCCCTTCAACCTCGGTTGTGTTATGTGTATCCTATACAACTATCTGTGACGGGCTTGAGTCCTTACTCTTTACCTGTCTCCCCCCAAATTTCTTTTGTCCCAACTTCCAGGCCTTGTTCAGTCTTCCCTAGAAAAGTGAGGGCCATGTGGATAGACAGTGGCAGAGCCCACTACTAATACAGATTTTGGGCTTCCAGGCCTGGATAGACAGCCGGCTACAGTGGGATGCCAATGACTTTGGGAACATCACTGTCCTACGCCTGCCCTCCGACATGGTGTGGTTACCTGAGATTGTGCTGGAGAACAAGTTGAGCAGAGCCCTCCTAGGCCTCCCTCCCTCATCCGGCATCTCTTCCCTACATTCTCAGCCTCCATCTCCAGCCCTAATCCCTGGCCTGCCCTTCCTCTTCTGCCTCCCACAGTCCTCCCAGTTCCAGCTGGCCAGGGCACACAGTGATCCTTGTCCCTATCTTCCAGCAATGATGGCTCCTTCCAGATTTCCTATTCCTGCAACGTGCTTGTCTATGACACTGGTGATGTGACCTGGCTGCCGCCTGCCATCTTCCGCTCTTCCTGTCCCATCTCAGTCACCTACTTCCCTTTCGACTGGCAGAACTGCTCCCTCAAATTCAGGTGTGCCCATCTCTCCAGGCCTCTCACCCAAGGGCCCCCTACCAGAGGCAGAAGGAAGTAAATGAAGCGCCCTCAGTGCCTTGGTCCTGTGCTGACCAGAGTCCCCTCCAGCCGTGGCCTTCCTTAACTAGCCTCTTCCCCAGTCAGAGGCCACAACCAGAGACTCTCGGTCACCCTCTGCCCACTGTTCTCCCCAGTTCACTCAAATACACAGCCAAGGAGATCACAATGAGCCTGAAGCAGGAGGAGGAGGATGGCCACGCCTACCCCATTGAGTGGATCATCATAGACCCTGAGGGCTTTACAGGTACTTCAGCAGTCACAGTGGGCTGGCACCACAGACACGCCAACATCTGTGGACCACACAGCCACACCAACACCTCATGCGCATGCAGCCGGGACATCAACGTGCACACAGATAGGGATAGATGGACAGATAGCCTATACACCCATACCTGCTACCCAGGAGACACGTGTGTACGGCAGAGCCTTGGAGGATGGATGTGGCTGACACAGGGGTGACTGAGCCTTCCTGCACTTAGAGGGGGGGGCGGGGTTGGTAGCTGAGGGTAGGCTGTGTCATGGATGGGTATGTCCCCACCAGCCCTATCTATGACCAGTTCAGATTCATGGGGGCGGGGGCCTGCTCAGCCCTGTCCAACAGAAGAGTACCATGTCTGCTGGTTTCAGGACAGGGACATTCTGGAAAGTAAGTTGTTTGTGTGTGTGTGTGTGTGTGTGTGTGTGTGTGTAAGTGCACCTGTGTCATGCAGTGCCTGTAGAGGTCAGAAGACGGCATCAGATCCGGTGGAACTGGAGTTAAGGACGGTTCGTAACTGCCATGTGGGTGCTGGGAATCGAACCCCAGTCCTCTGCAAGAGCAGCCAGTGTTCTTAACCACTGAGCCATCTCTCCAGCCTATGGAAGTAGGTTTTACACGCTCATCTGATGTTCTTCCTCAAGGAAGAGTGGCCAAGAAATGTCAATAGAGCTTTAATTTAACTTAGAAGACAAGATCAAAAGGACATGATGACAAACACACCTCTAATTTAAATATTCAGGAGGCAGAAGCAGAAGGATCACAGTAAGTTCAAGGCCAGCTTAATTTACATAGGGAGTTCTAGACCAGCCAATGCTGTATAGCAAGACCCTGTCTCAAAAAAACAAACAAAAAGCCAGTGTGGTGGCTCACACCTGTAGCGCCAGCAATCAAGAGACAGAGGTAGGAGAATTAGGATTTCAAAGGCATACTTGGCTACATAGTGATGCCAGCCTGAGCTACCAACTCAAGAACTGAGAGGATTTTTTTTAACTAAATTGTTGTGTGTACGATGTATGTGCATGGATGTCATGAATGCCATAGTTCGTGTGTGGAAGTCAAAGGACGACTTGTGGGAGCCAGTTTTCTCCCTACTATGGGGGTCCTGAGGGAATCCCCTCGGGCTCAGTAGCAGGCACTGTTACCCAGAGCCATCTCATTGGCCCCTGACAGCATTTTTTAATCTGTATAGAACCTACTTTTGGCTTGTGATATCTTTTTAGACAAAACATATTCCTTATTTGAACCCTATCTAGCTTCTGTTTCTTCCAGGGAGAAAAAAGAAACAGAAGAACCCAAAAAAATAGTCACAGAGAAAAACTTCCTCCTCATAGACTGAACCTACCAGCCCAACTCCCAGAGATAGACAGATGCCCACAGAGCCCAAGACCCTTCTAGGCCTCAGCTCTCTCAGACCACACCCTGGCCTGGCTCACTGCACCCAAGCTCCTCATTCTTCCCCAAGGCTCCTAAACCTCATAGACTCACCTTTCCCAGCCTGATCCCAAGCTGCCTCTGTGCTTCCCTCAGAGAATGGGGAATGGGAGATAGTGCACCGAGCAGCCAAGGTCAATGTGGACCCCAGTGTCCCGATGGACAGCACCAGCCACCAGGACATCACCTTCTACCTCATCATCCGCCGCAAGCCACTCTTCTACATCATCAACATCCTGATACCCTGCGTGCTCATCTCCTTCATGATCAACCTGGTCTTCTACCTGCCGGGCGATTGTGAGCCTTATGCCCCACCCCATTCTTGGGCCCCTTGGCAGCCTCTCCCAAAGCCACCCAGCACAGGCACTCCAGCCCTGCCCCTCTCTTCCTCTGAAAGCCACACGAGGGTCACTGATCCTGGAGTTCTTGGGGTGAGAGGAACAGACCTGAGGATAAGTCACCAGCTGAGGGAGGACTCACTTTATTGTTGTCATCCGCAATGGACAGGGCAAGGCCCTTCCTGGGTCCTACCAATGCTTCTCAGGAGGGTCTTCTCAAGGATGGAGAGAGAGAATGCTGGGCTGTCCTGGACTGTCCACTGTCAGGACAGAGATTGGGTTCATCATGGCGACCACAATGGACCTGGCACTCAGGAGGCCACTCGCTGCTGACCCAATAGGTTGATAAGAAAGCCAGAATAGGGGATAGGGCAGTACCATGAAAAGGCACTGCAAGTCCCAAAGACGAAGGCCACTTAGCCCTGCCTGTGGCAGACAGGGTGAAAACCATAGGACCCACAGGTTTGGGGGGTTAGCCAGGAAGAAGGCATTCCAGGCCATGGGGATGGAGGGCCCTAGAGGAAGATGGAGCTTGAAAGTAACTTGAAGTATAGGTGGGGCTTTATCAGGCAGCATGGTTGGGGAGCAGTGCCCAATGGTGTGAGGTGGGTACTGTGTACAGGCACTCAGACGGCACCGGGTTGGGGTCTTTGTGTTAGGAACTGCATGTTGGGGTTCCACTAGGATGCTCTGGAGCTTTCTGAGTGGCAGAGCTTGGGCGAATGTGCCAGTGTTTGTTGAGTACTTACCCAGTGCCATGCTTACATTTTGAGGAACAGGCACAGAGAGGTTGAGGCACTTGTAGAGGTCACCAGCTAGTAAGCTGTGGGGTCAGGATTTAAACCCTGGCACAGTAGTCCCATACCCTGCAGTGTTTACTGAGACACTGTGGCATTGTGAACAATGGGGGCAGACCCACCATGAAGGGGACCTGGTGGACTCCAGGTCTGAGCTTCCAGCTAGTTCTGACTCCCCAGGTGGAGAGAAGACCTCGGTGGCCATCTCCGTGCTCCTGGCCCAGTCTGTCTTCCTGCTGCTTATCTCTAAGAGGCTGCCCGCCACATCTATGGCCATTCCTCTGGTGGGCAAGTGAGTGGAACTCTGCCCAAACCCCACCCTGCCCATGCCCTCTGCCCTTCGTCCCCAGCTCCTGGTCCGGTGTGTTTCCACAGGTTCCTGCTCTTTGGCATGATACTGGTCACCATGGTTGTTGTAACCTGTGTCATTGTGCTCAACATCCACTTCCGAACACCCAGTACCCACGTGCTGTCTGAAAGGGTGAAGAAGGTGAGTTCTGACAATAACCAAAAGCTGGACACCACCTCTTGGTCAGGAGAAAGGTTAAGGGTCCTGGTTTGTGCTCAGCTGGACAGACACGTTGGCTGTAGAAGACCAATAAACCCCAGGTTTATTCCCAGCGTTCTGGAGTAGCCAAAGCCAATCTGTGATGACAGAAATTAGGGCATCAGTGGCTACCTGGGGAATGGGGGGTGGGGAAGAGGGCAGGCAGGAAGGAACTTTTGAGGGCAGCGTTCCATACTTATCTGTGGCAGTGACTAGTTATAAAAATTCATCCTGGTACACTTAAGGTTTGCTCATCCTGCCCCATGATGCTACAAGTAAAAGCAGGAAGCAGAGGTAGGGCGTGACTTAGTGACAGAGCACTTGCCTGGCATGTGTAAGGCCCTGGGTTCAAGCTCTTGCACCACAAAACTTAAAAATAAGAAGGTAAGTGGGTAGAGCACTGGGGGACAGGGTACTCAGGATAAGGCTGCCTTTTCTGGACCACTGCAGGGCCAGCAGAATGTTTTAGGACAGCTCGGGTTAGTTTTGCAACTCTTTTTTTAATGTGTGATTCTTTTTTAAATGTACTTGTTTTTATTTTGTACATATGACTGTTCAGCTGCATGCACTGCATGACTGTTTACCACTTTCACCCAATGCTTGCAGAGGCCAGAAGAGGGAATCAGAGCACCTGGGACTGGAGTTACAGAAGGTTACAAACTGCCATGTGGGTGCTGGGAACTGAACCAAGATCTGCAAGAGCAGCATGTGCACTTCACCCATGTGTCATCTCTCAAGTCCCTCCCCGCTCTTTTGAGACAGGGTCACACTCTGTAGCTCTAGCTGGCCCAGAACTCACAGTGAATCTGCCTGCCTCTGCCTCCTGGAGTACTGGGATTAAAGGCATCCACCACCACTTCTAGCTAGTTTTGCAGCTCTTTAATGGCTTTTTTCTTTAATTGCTTGAAAAGAGAGCCCACCATTTTGTGTTTTTATTTATTTAAGAGGGTCTTACTATGTGGCTCATAAAAGAAGAAGCATGCCTGGAAATATTAGCTCAGTGTGGTGGCTAAAACCTATAATCCTAGTGGGAGGATCAGAAGTTCAAGGTCATTCTTGAATGGCTCAGCCAGTTTGGAACTGGCTAGCCTAGGATACACGAGACCCTGTCTTAAGAAGAAGCCAGGTGTGGTAGCACACGCCTTTAATTCCAGGACTTGGGAGGTAGAGGTAGGCAGATCTCTGTGAGTTCAAGGCCAGCCTGGTCTACATGGTGAGTTCCAGGCCAGCTGAGGCTACAGAGATCCTGTCTCAAAAAAAAAAAAAAAAAAAAAAAAGAGGAGGAGGAGGAAGAGGAGGAGGAGCCTCTTCTGACCTAGGAGGAGGAGGAGGAAGAGGAAGGAAGGACGCTGGTATGGCAAGTGCGTGCCTCAAATTCTTAATCCTGCCTCAGCCTCCTGAAGGCTGGGATTACAAGAATTAACCACCATACCCAATTTCATTTTATTTTTAAGATTAATTTTCTTTTCTCTTTTTTTCTTTTTTTTGGGGGGGATGGGGTGGGGTGAGACAGGGTCTCATTATGTAGCCCTGGCTGGCCTAGAACTCACAGAGATCAGAGATGCATAAGTCCCTGCCTCCTGAGTGCTGGCCTCAAAGGCGTGTGCCAACACACCCAGCCAAGACTCATTTTCAATGACTAAGTTTGGCTCTGTGCTGTAAAGAGGGGCAGTTGAAAGCAACCAACATGCTCATCACTAGAGAATATGGGAGCCAGATGATGGGGTCAGACCGAGGAGCTAGCTGTGTGTGGCAGGCAGAGACAGACGCATAGACATTAGAATGTATAAATGTGTAAAGGTCACCCACATTTGTGCAATGGCTTGTCTTCTGTTCCCCTGGCTGCCAAAGATGTTCCTGGAGACCCTGCCCCGGCTCTTGCACATGTCCCGCCCAGCAGAGGAAGGTCCCAGCCCCAGCACCCTGATCCGGAGGAGCAGCTCCCTGGGCTACATCTCCAAAGCAGAGGAGTATTTCTCACTCAAGTCCCGGAGTGACCTCATGTTTGAGAAGCAGTCAGAGCGGCATGGGCTGGCCAGGCGCCTTACCACTGCACGTGGGTCCCGGGTAACCTTGTGGCTTGGCCCATGTGTGGGAGGTGGGCAGGGACAGGCATCACTCCTGCCTCTGGCCCATGTCCACAGGCCAGCCCCCAGCAAGCTCTGAACAAGCCCAGCAGGAACTTTTCAGTGAGTTGAAGCCAGCTGTGGATGGAGCAAATTTCATTGTCAACCATATGAGGGACCAAAACAGCTACAATGAGGTGAGTGGACCTGGGCTCATCACAGACACCGGGGTTCAGAGTCCTATCTTAAGGGGACAAAGTTCCCTCTACATACACGTACCTACTTATATGAAAGAGTACATGTGGGCAAGGTTCCCCAGACATGATTTCTTGGGGATGGAGAATTCCTACATGAAACCCCATAGCAGCATGCTGGGCCAGGCACACACTCTGGGGCACTCACAGCCCCACCCCCAGGCCACATTCTAAGCATCCCTAAGGGTCTCTTCTTTCTGCCCAGCTCCAAGCCTGATACTTTAGACAATACCCAATGTTTATTTTACTTACTTTTTTGAACTCAGGGTCTTACACATGCTAGGCAGGGACTCTGCCACTAAGTCCCACCCTGAGTTGAGCATCAGAGTCCAGCACCAGACCTTTAAAAGGCCGCCATGCTTGCTTGTCTCCTTTTTTAATGTGTCTGAATGTTTAGCCTGCATGCATGTAAGTGCACCATGTGCATACAATGCCCACAGAAGTCAGAAGGAGACATTGAATCTTCTGGAACTGGAGTTATGGACTGTTGTGAGCTGCCATGTGGGTGCTGGGAATCAAGCCTGGGTCCTTTGCAAGAGCAGCCAGTGTTTCTAACCATTGAGCCATCTCTCCAGCCCCCTTGGTTGTCTACTCTTAAGCAACATGTTACAGTTCTCCAGTGTGTTCTCCTGTTCACACCCAAGTAGGAGCAGCCCTGAATGGCTGGGAGGGCCGAAGAGAGGAATGGGGTCCCCAGCCTCTTGGAGACAGACACAACACAATGTCCAACTGTGCATGTAGCACAATGGCCTGGGCCCCTGCTGGGGACAATGGCAGCCTGTCTTGACCCATCCCTGCCGTCAGCCTGAGGTGGCTCCCACAGATACTGAGGCCAGACCTCTGATTCCACTGCTGGGCCCTAGTTGTGGGGTATGAGTCTGCAGTCTGAGGACTGCCCCCCTCACTCCATGGTGCCTGACCCTACTTCTAGGAGAAGGACAACTGGAACCAGGTGGCCCGCACAGTGGATCGCCTCTGCCTGTTTGTGGTGACACCCATCATGGTGGTAGGCACAGCCTGGATCTTCCTGCAAGGTGTCTACAACCAGCCCCCACCTCAGCCTTTCCCTGGGGACCCCTTTTCCTACAATGAGCAGGACAGGCGCTTCATCTAGAGCAGGCCTGAGTGGGCAGCCAGGCAGTCAGGGGTTGGGGAACAGCAGTTAGGTCCTGTCCTTGAGCTTCGGCCCAGCTAGTGCTATGAAACTGGGCTGAGGTCAAGGTAAGGAGCAGTTCCTTTCTCAATAAGACACTTTGGGTGGGCTGAGAGTGGACATGGCAGGAGGGGCCCCTAAAGATGTGGGGAGAGAAAGGGGGCTTGCTCAGGGGCCAGGAAGGTGATCTTGGGACTGGTTTCTTGGGAAGAGCACTGTAAGGGGTTGCACAGTCGGAGCCTCCTCTCTGCCTCACCCCCTTCCAGGGCAGGTCAGAATCTTCATGGTTCCTTGCCATCCTCCCCCCACCCATCCCTCAAACTCAGGCTGCCAAGGCCCACCTAGCACCCCAGAAGGGGATGCCTCCCTCTCCAGGCCCCTGAGGAGGGAGGTTTTCTGTAGTGTGGGAACAGCACTGTCCACAGTGTCATCTGCCAGCCCTTGATATCTTGGCTACTGTCTGGGTCCCTCAAGATTGGCATCCATCAAGGCCCTACCCAGCCCCCTTAAGGTGCCCCCACACCAAATCCCTCCTCTTCATCCCCAAACTCTCCAAACTAGGATTGCCTTGCAATATTTGAGATATAGTTACATTAAAGAATTATTTGTTGTTTATCTGAAATTCAAATTTAAATGTATACCCAGTCCTTTTTTTTAAATTTTATTTTACATGTTTGAGTGTTTTGCCTACATGTATGTAAATGCACCTGTGTTGTGTAATGCCTGTGGAGGCCAGAAAAAGGTGTTGGGTCCCCTGAAACTGGAGTTATGGACAGTTGTTAGCCGTCATGTGGGTGCTGGGAACTGAGCCTAGCTCTTCTAGAAGAGCATCTAGTGCTCTTAACTGCTGAGCCATCTCTCCAGCCAATATACCAAGTCTTTTTACTGTCTAAAGCTGTCAGTCAAACCTACCCTAAAGGGAGCAGGCACTCAGTCCTATCCCAAGTCCTATCAAGTGAAGACATGGTCACAGGAGGGAGGCTAAGCCTGTGGGGAGCCTACAAAGCCTACCTTGACTTACATGCTGGGCAGTCCCTGCCACTCTGTGCAAGGAGTAGAATGAGGCAGAAGTGATGCTATGTTCCCTTGAAGACCAGGCCGTGAGACACTGGTTCCTGCCTCACACTCTCCCACTCACTTTGGGAAGCTAGCTGCAGTGTTGAAGCTCTGCAGGAGAAGCCACCTGGCAACAGCCACATGGGTCAACTGGGAAGTAACCTCCAGATGAGAGCTGAGCTGTTTCTGGGTCTGCACCCTCAGAAGCTGTGGGAGATAATAAATGTGTTTTAGGTCACAGAGTTTGGACTCATTTGTTTTACTAGTGGTACAGTCCTCGATGAACCACAAATTTCATCTTAGCTTTGGTTTCTCTAAATCATTTTTTCCCTTTTATGGGGCTGGGGATGGAACCCATGACCCTGCACATGCTGGGCTAGGGCTCCTGCCAGCACCCCCAGCCCTTGGCTTCATTTTCCTCCCTGTATTAGGCATATGCAGTAAGCCCCATTTACAGGTGGTTGTGAACATTGAATTTGCTAATAGGAGTAAAGGTACCTGTATTCTGGAAACTTAAGGGGTGCTTTCTTAGCCCAGTTTTCACTTGGTCACAAAAGACCCGTCTGAGGGGCTTGTGCCAGGGCTCCTGCATCCAAGCCCAGCATCTGACAGAAAGAAGGCAAGAACAGAGGAAGGGGGATGACTACTCATCTTGCTGTATAGATGGAAGGCCTTCACACCTCAAACCATTTTCCCAGGGGAAAGGGGTGACGTCATTAGCTCTGACAGACAGCAGGTAAGGTTTTGAATATGTGACTGAGAAAAAAAGAAAACCCATCTCAACCCCAAACCTAGTTATGTCCAGAATGAACTGTCTACAAATTCAAGGTGTGATTCAGGGAAAGCAACTCAGCCTTCACTCATGCCGGACAAGCAGGGAGTCCAGGACTCTCCCGAACACCTAACCATCCCTGCAACATGTCCTTTCTAGAACCCTCCACCATGCTGACAACCTGAGTTTGATCCCAGGAGCCAATATAAAGATGGAGGGAGAGAACCAACTTTACAATGCTGTTGTCTGATCTACACACACGCACACACACACACACACACACACACACACACACGCACACAGTGGCATATGCACCCCCTCCCCCTGGTAATAAAATAAGCTTTTATAAAGCTTGCTCATGAACCCCTGCAGCATCTCATTGGTCAAATCCCTACATGATTACATATACTTGTAAGAGAGCCTGGAAAATAAAATCAGTCCTCCACAGCTGCAGGTTCAACATCTGAAGATTCACCCAGCCGTAGATGGAAAATATGTGGGAGAAAAACGTGTGTCAGACTGTACATGGATAGACATTTTCTTGTCATTTTCCACCAACCAATAAAGCCTGATAACTATTTGCATCGCATTGATACTGCATTAAGAATAAGTAGGGGCTGGAGAGATGGCTCAGCAGTTAAAGAACACTGGTTGTTCTTGCAGAAGAACCAGGCCAACATGGCAGCTAACAACTGTCTGTAACTCCAGTCCCAGGGGATCCGACAGCCTCTTCTGACCTCTGCGGGCATTGCATGACATGGGTGCACTTACCTATATACAGGCAATACACGCATACACATAAAGTAAAAATAATAAAAATTTTAAAAAAAGAAAGCTGGGCGTGGTGGCGCACGCCTGTAGTCCCAGCACTTGGGAGGCAGAGGCAGGCGGATCTCTGTGAGTTCAAGGCCAGCCTGGTCTACATAGTGAGTTCCAGGACAGCTGGGGCTACAGGGAGACCCTGCTTCAAAAAGACAAAAAAAAAATTTTTTTTAAAAAGAATGATAAGTCACCTGAACATGCACTACAGCACGCAGGATTAGGCAGGTTCTGTGCAAACACTGCACCATTTTACAAGAGACACTGGAGCATCAGTAGATGTTGGTATCTGAGGAGGTCCTGGAACTGACTCCCCATAGATTCTGAGGGGTGACATAGTTTAGCTTTTCCAGCCTTTGTAACAGGTGGTGGCAAAAGAGAAACATCTGGAACTAAGAGTGACAGTCACACATGCTTTTCTCGGAGTGAGTCCCACCCGTCCACTCTGGACCCTCCTAGGAGCCTCCACCTTTCCAAGGTGACTCGCCCTGCAAAAATGCCAAGCAGACTCCCAGTCCTCGCTGCTCTGGAGCCCAGCGGGAGGGGGAACAAACAGGGATGAAAGTCTTCACATGGAGGGAGGCACGCCAGTGCATGACAGAGGGGAAAGCCGTTTGACATTGTCCTTTTTTCTCTCTCTGACACTGGAGGGAAGGAAAGGGACAATGGGGAGGTGGGTGTAAGGGAATGACAGAGGACCACTGCTCACTCCACTTCCTGACTGTTAGAGGTCGTTACTGCTCTTTGGCGAGGTGGCTGGAGAGGAGCCAAGGCACTGATATGCAAATCAGAGTAGGAATTCTGTCTAGGGGACACACCAGAAATGACTGAAGAAGACAGATGCCACCATTGTCTTCTCCCTGCCCCCACCCATGGAGTCCTAGTAGGACAGGAGAGACTTGAGGCCCTGCAGGGGGTTGGGTTCTAAGCCTGACTTCCAGTTTCTAAAACATACTACCATGCTATAGACATCATCTTCTGGGGCCAGGATTCGCTTTCCTTGACACTCAGAGGCTTCAATTTCCCGGCCCTTCCTGGGGCAGCTAGCTACCTGTGTGGTGACACTTATGGGCCACATACTGACCCATGCTAATCAGTATGCTTGAAATAGATGACCACAAGCAGGTGACCCAAGTATTGACACAGCCAGCAGCAAGGTCCTGTTTCCATATCTGCCTCAGTCCCATCCTTTGATGGTCACAAGCCATGAAGTAGATGGGGCTTGACCCTGTGGATCTCCTCTTCTGGCTCTAGGGGATACAGCCTCAAGTCTGGTGGGCCTGCCCCCGTGTGTCCTGAGTCCTTCCATGCAGCTTGACACATTCTGAGTCTCCCCAGCCTAATCCTGAGTCTGCCATTGTCAGATACTTTTTTTTTTTTTTTTTTTTTGTTTTTTTTGATAGGAACTTGGCATTTTTGTTTTTGACAATCTTGTAAATAAGTTTTTTTTTTTG